AGGAGCGGAGGGAGAGGGACAAGCAGGCTCCATCCGCACAGAGCATGGAGCCTGATGTGGGGTTCAATGCCATGACCCTGTGATCGCGACCTGAGCCAAGGGTAGGACGCTTAATCGACTGAGCCACCTGGGTGCCCCTCCTTTGTGGACATTGTAAACTCGCCACAGCCAAGACAATCCTGAATGGGACAGCAGAGGCCCTTTTCACCACAGCCGAGTACTTCCTAGGCAGGATGAGTTCCTTCGTGGACAAGACAGACATCCCCACGGACAGTGGGATTCTCCCTCGAACCTGATGTGAACTGACTGTGGACCGTGAAACACCATCCCCATCAATGGAAGTCTCCCTCTAACCCAGCAGAGTCTCCCATGGGCAATGCGAACTCCCACCCAGGTGTGTCTCCCCGAGGACAGTATGATGTCTCCTATCCACGACAAAGTGAAGAAGAACAGGGAATATTGCATGTACTACGAGCCCCTTTTGTGACAGGGTGAACCGTTCTCCAAGGTAGGTCTACATAAGTAGGCAATGGGAACCTTCTGATGAGTATAAACTTCCCTCAGACCCAGCACCTACTCCACGGACCCAGTCTCAACTGCCCTGTAAAAGTTCCCACAAAGCCTGCTCAATGTTTAAGTGCACACTCTTCTAGAATGTTATTTAAATAGTATAAAATACCATGGTTATAAAATAGTACATGCAAGTCATAATATAAAACAGTGTAAGAGATTGTGTAAGAATCCTTCTCAGTGTGAACTTGCAGACAGTGGAATTTCCCCCTCTCTCAAAGCAGATCTCCCAGCCAATCTCCTTCAAACTCAAGGAACCCCATTGGACAATTGATACTTCTTCCCAGCCCCGCGGTGAACTGGCCATATGTCACTGGTCGCGGGAATGTTGCAGAGCATGGCGCCTGCAAGCGGCTGGGTGGGTTTTCTTCACAACTGGTGTGAATCCCGTGTGCATACGGGGAACCCATCACAGGCAGCGGAAGCCTCGGCTGAGGCCCACGTTCACTGCTCCCCATTACCGTCTATCTCTGGCAAATGCAACGGGAGAGTATGTGTGCACTGCAGACAGCTTCACACCTGGTGTAAACTCTGTGTCTGGGCTGCGGGAATCTACAACCGATGGGGCATATCCCTCTCCTCCCCACCTCGTGTGAACGCGCCCCCCACCCCGAGACCTTAGAAAAGTCTCGCTCCCGCCAAGTGCGAACACCCACAAAGCACCTCTCCACAGAACGTAGTGTGAAGGGAATCTGGTGTGAAGCCCCACGAAGCGCCGCATTTTCCCAACCCGTGCCCCGAGCTGCCAGAAAACTGCACCGCCCTAATTGCCAAAGTCTTGGAAGACAAGACTTGTCCCCCCGGGTCCCAAAGCCCCGGGCCGTGCGCGTTCACTACTCCACTGCAACGCGCGCCTCCCCACACGCGCACGTTCTCTCCCCTCCCGGTGGCAACAGGGCTTTCCGCGGGGCCGCGCCGGACTTTCTGAAGCTGTTGATTGGTCATAGTCCCGGCCACCCTACAGCCAATCAAGCGGGAGAAAGATGACATCACTCGTTCGCCTCCCCTCCCCCCCACCCCAAACTTCCCTACTCCCGGCTACCGACAGCAACAACCACGTGGGGGAGGGGTAACAGAGTAGAACCCGGTGAGGTCATTGCACCGCCCCGGCCGCCGCTGATTGGCTGCGGGGCTTGCGGGTGGCGGTTGGCTGCTACTCGCACCTCCCCCTCGTGCCGCTACCGCCGCCACTGAGAGGAGCCACTAGCGACGACAGAGTCGGGAATCCGGGTGAGTCGGGGCCCTGGGTCTAAGATGCTCCCGGTGTGCAGGGAGACTTAGAGGAACTGCCCTGTCCGACTTTTTCTCCTCTCCCGGGTTCTTTGGTGCTACGGCACTCTGTCACATGGGAGTTGTAGTCTGCTTTGTACTATTGACTATGGGCCGGAGACGTAAGAAGACTACCATTCCCAGCAGGAATTGCGACTAGCCGGTCAACAAACGCCCAGGCCACGCCTCCTTAGCCTGCTTATTGGACAGCCTATCCCTTAGCCCTTCCTTCTTGCACTTCATTGGTTACTGTCCCTCCCAGAGGCTGGGTTCCGGCCTAGAGTGCAGGGCGACTGGGTACTGTATTCGTCATTCTGCACTAAGACGGCTTGCGATTGGTCAGGGCTGATGCCCATCACTTGTTGTGGGGCAGGGCCCTAGGCAGATCAGGCGGTCGTAGGCTCAGGTTGGTGTCGGTCCCAGAGGGAGGACGGTCTTGGACTTTGGCCCCGCCCCCTGGCGCTGCCGGGTGGGCGGAATTGGTCATGGCGAATGTCGCTCGTCGTGGAGAGGCGGAGCCGACCAGGCTGCGGATATCTATTGGTTTAGGACGGCGCCGGTCAGCGGGGTTGTGGCCGGTGATTGGCTGGCTGCTCCAGCTGTTGCAGGTCCATTCACCATTTTGTGTGTTGGAGTAAAAAAAAAAGGGAGAATCGAGAGGGAGAGCCGGAGGGGGGGCGGGGAGGGACCGGACCGGACCGAGCTGGGGCCAAGGCCCCCCGCCCCGAAACCCTGCCGGGCCCGGGGGGGGGGGGGGGGGCGGGGGCGGACGGGGGGGGGGGGGATTGGGGGTGCGGGGGGCCGAGAGGGGACAGGTGGCAGGGACGGGGAGGGGGTACAGGGGAAAAAAGGTGGGTTGGATGGTGGGAAAGGAGGATAGAGTGGATGAAGTGGTGGGGAGGAACAGTGACAGAAAAGGGGTGACGGAGAGGGGATGGTGGGCAGAGAATGGGTAACAGGAATGGAGGGGTGACAGGACTAGATCAGGGTGACAGGGAGAGGGAGGGGACAGAGTTGGAGGGGTGACAAGGAGAGGTGATGGAGAGAAAAGGTGACAGGTCCAGAGATGGCTGACAGGAGAGTGACTTGGAGGAAGGGGTGACAGAGATAGATGAGGGTGACAAGGATGGGGTGGCTGAGGAGGGGGGGCCTAGGGCCTGTGAGGAGAGAGGCAGAGGTAGAGGTGGTGACAGGACGGGAGAGAGAGTGGCAGAGAAGCTGGTGCCAGGAGGGCTGATGGGAGCAGAGGGGATGAGACCCTGAAGAACCAGGGCCTGGGCTGGCCTGGGCTTCAGGAGTTCCTGCTTAGATTCTGAAGGAGGTGAGGGCCCACAGGGCCTTGGGTGGGAGTTATCCAAAGTGGGGTGGACAGGAAGAGAGTAGGCCCAGGGGAAAAAAAAAAAGGCTTGGCTTTTGGGGTGAAGAGGCAGGACCAGGAGGCAGGGTCCAGGGGTGCCAGGCAATATGGTTGTAGGCCCTGGGGGGGTTATGCAAAGGTTTGTGTTTGGGCAGGACTGGGGCCGGATCTCGGTCCCTAGGACGGTGGCCCAGCGGGTCAGTGGGGAGAAGGTGGTGGCAGCTGCCCAACTCCTGGACACTTGGATCCCTGCCCCAGTGTGAGAAGCCCCGGGCCCTATAGCTCTGCCCGTGAGGACCCCAGGATTGGCCCAGAGAAGGAGCAGCCTGGGATTGTAGGGTCCACAGGAGGAGCAGGCCTCGAGTAGGAGAACACAAGATCAGGGGTCCTGGGAGAGCTGGCAGACTGAGTCAGGGGTATCTCTGATTGCGTTTGGGTTAGGGCCCTGGGCACCCCCACCCTCCCAGAGGCCCCCTTTTGGCCTCTCAGCTTCTCTTAGTCACTTCAGAGTAAAGTTTTTTCCCTTTTCTTTTCTCAGGGCAGCTTGAAAGGGGGCGGGCAGTAATGACTGTTCAGGAAGTGGGTGAGGTTGGCCTGCTGGGCTTGCCCTGCTTTCTTTGACCTTCTCCCACTTACCCCCACCTGGAGTCAGAGGGCATATTTGGGGGACCCCTGGCCCCGGCCAGCTCAGCCACCCTGTCAGAGGCAGCCCAGTGGTGGTGGGGGGGGGGCACGCGTGCAGGCCAGAAGGGGGGCTGGGCTTGCTGGTCTCACACTGGGTGCTATGGGGGGGAGGAGCAGGCTCCCATCCAGTGGGACAGCGAAACCCTGGGGTGTAGCTCCGTGTCCCACTGTGTGATGACGTGTGTGCCTCTGTGTGTGTTTTTGTGCGCGTGCGTGTGCTCATGCACGGCCCCGTGGCAGCACTGGGTATAAGCTCTTGCCCCAGACGTGCCCCTGCCTGCTCCCTGCCAGGATCTGGGGAGATGGCTATACCTGGCAGGCCTGGGTGCAGAGAAGAGTGGGCAGCTGTCCCTCAGGACTTTCAGCTGCCCACTCCTTCCCACGATGGCTGGCCATGCCAGGCAGCCCAGAGGGGTGGGGGTGGGGGTGGAGAGAGGCTCACATCACAGCCCAGTCACCTTCTTTTCTGTGACTGTGTTCCTGTGCATGTGTGTGTATGTGTATGAGTGTGTGTGCTGTCTGGACAGTGACAGTGCAAGGAAGCGTGTCCTCTGGATCAAGTGACAGGCGGCACACTGAAATGGTTAGGAGCACAGACTTCTGAAGCAGCCAGATTGCCTGGGTTCAGACCCTAGCTCTGCCATTTCCTAGCTGGATGAATTTGAACAAGTTGCTTGTGTTCTCTGTGCCTCAGTTTCTTCACGTAGGGCTGTTGGTAACACCTGCCTCTTAGGGATATTGTCAGGATGAAATGGGTTAATAAAATCAAGTTCGGCCCACGGCTTGGCACAAAGCAAGTGCTCTACAGGCATGAACCATTACTGCCTTTTTGTGCCCCGTCAGGCAGTTGCACATACCTGCTGTGGCCTGTGTAGAGGGAACAGATATATGTCAGTGTCCCCAACGAGCCAAGAGTACATAACTCAGGGGACATGGGTGCCAGTCTGTGTCCAGGTGCCAGTCAGGGGCCCCCATGAGTGGAAGACAGCCAAGAGAAAGCCTTCAGGTATGACGGACCTGACTATGGCCTCAGCAAGTGGGAAGTCTTGGGGGACACTGGCTCTGGGAGGTTCCTGAGTTGCTCCCGATGATCCCTGTCTGCCCTCCCACCTGCAGGTGGACAAAAGATGAAGCCAATGAAGAAGGCATGTGTCAGTCTCCCAGGTTCTGGCAGTGGCGGCAAGTCCCCACCGGCCACCCGGGCCAAGGCCCTGAGACGGCGAGGGGCTGGGGAGGGCGAAAAGCCAGAGGAGGAAGATGAAGAGGTACAGCAGCAGCAGCCCCAGCAGCCTCCGGGGCCAGAAGAGGCTGAGGAGGGTGAGGAGGAGGAGTCCGAGAGGGGCCCTGGGGCTGAGGGGCTGACCCCGGAGCCACACCCTGACGACCCAGCGGCCCCAGGCCCTGCTGAGGACCCCAAGGTAGAGGGGGAGGCAAGTCGCTGGGAGCCCTCCCTCAGCCGTAAGACGGCCACGTTCAAGTCTCGAGCGCCCAAGAAGAAGTATGTGGAGGAGCATGGAGCCGGCAGTGGTAGCAGTGGGCCGGCCGGGGCCCCTGAAGAGCGGGCACGAACCCCTGAGGAGGCCAGTGCCCTGGGTGTCCCTCCACGGCCACCCACCTCTACCCGTTCCTCTTCCACCGACACAGCCAGCGAGCACTCAGCTGACCTGGAAGATGAGCCCGCCGAAGCCTGTGGGCCAGGCCCCTGGCCCCCAAGTGGCACCAGCAGCGGATACGACCTGCGGCAGCTGAGGTCCCAGCGGGTGCTGGCTCGGCGTGGAGACGGCCTCTTCTTGCCGGCCGTGGTGCGCCAGGTGCGCCGAAGCCAGGACCTGGGCGTTCAGTTCCCTGGGGATCGGGCACTGACCTTCTACGAGGGGGCACCCGGCGGTGGTATCGATGTGGTTTTGGATGCCACGCCGCCGCCAGGTGCCCTCGCGGTGGGCACAGCCGTCTGTACCTGCGTGGAGCCCGGCGTGGCTGCCTACCGTGAGGGTGTGGTGGTGGAGGTGGCCACCAAGCCTGCCGCCTACAAGGTCCGCCTCAGTCCTGGCCCCAGCTCCCAGCCTGGCCCGCTGGCCGCTGTCCCACAGCCCCCACAGCTGCCACACCATGAACCTGAGGAGGCCGTGTGGGTGGCCCGTTCCAGCTTGCGCCTGCTGCGGCCCCCCTGGGAGCCTGAGGCCCTGCCTAGGAAGCCCCCCTCGGGCCCTGAGGAGGAGCAGGCTGAGCCGGGGGGCGCCCTGCCCCCCTGCCCTGCTGCCCTGGACTCCAAGCAGCCTGAGGATGCCGAGGTGTCTAAGATCAGCTTTGGTGGCAACCTGGGGACTTGCGAGGAGGGTGAGGAGAAGCACCCGCCAGCCCTGGGCACCCCGGCCCTGCTCCCGCTGCCTCCACCCCAGCTCCTGTCACCGCCACCAAAGTCCCCAGCTTTTGTGGGCCCGGGCCGCCCTGGGGAGCAGCCGTCACCCTGCCAGGAGGGGAGCCAGGGTGGCAGCCGGAGCAGCAGCGTGGCCTCCCTGGAGAAGGGGGCAGCGCCAGCCGCCCGGGCACGCACACCGCTGACAGCCGCGCAGCAGAAGTATAAGAAGGGTGATGTGGTCTGCACGCCCAACGGAATCCGCAAGAAGTTCAACGGCAAGCAGTGGCGCCGGCTGTGCTCCCGAGATGGCTGCATGAAGGAGTCGCAGCGGCGGGGCTACTGCTCTCGCCACCTGTCCATGCGAACCAAGGAGATGGAGGGCCTGGCGGACAGCGGCCCAGCTGGGGCTGGGCGGCCGGCAGGCGTGGCGGCACGGGAGGGCAGCACTGAGTTTGACTGGGGTGACGAAACATCGCGGGACAGCGAGGCCAGCAGTGTGGCAGCCCGCGGGGACTCGCGCCCACGCCTGGTGGCTCCTGCTGATCTGTCCCGCTTTGAGTTTGATGAGTGTGAGGCGGCCGTGATGCTGGTGTCGCTGGGCAGCTCTCGCTCTGGCACACCCTCCTTCTCTCCTGTGTCTACGCAGTCGCCCTTCTCACCTGCCCCATCGCCCTCCCCATCGCCGCTCTTTGGCTTCCGCCCAGCCAACTTCAGCCCCATCAACGCCTCACCAGTCATCCAGCGCACTGCCGTCCGCAGCCGCCACCTGAGCGCCAGCACCCCAAAGGGAGGTGTGCTGACCCCACCAGACCTGGGTCCCCACCCGCCGCCACCTGCCCCCAGAGAGCGCCATTCTTCTGGCATCCTACCCACCTTCCAGACCAACCTGACCTTCACCGTGCCCATCAGCCCTGGGCGGAGGAAGACAGAGCTGCTCCCCCATCCGGGGGCTCTGGGGGCCCCTGGCGCAGGGGGTGGAGGAGCCACCCCGGACTTCCCCAAGAGTGACAGCCTAGACTCTGGTGTGGACTCGGTGTCCCACACACCTACACCCTCCACGCCGGCTGGCTTCCGGGCTGTGTCGCCTGCTGTGCCCTTCTCCCGTTCCCGCCAGCCCTCGCCGTTGCTGCTGTTGCCCCCACCTGCTGGCCTGACCTCGGATCCTGGGCCCTCTGTGCGCAGGGTTCCTGCTGTGCAGCGGGACTCCCCTGTCATTGTTCGAAACCCTGATGTGCCGCTGCCCTCCAAATTCCCTGGGGAGGTGAGCACTGCTGGTGAGGCGCGGGCAGCGGGACCTGGGCGGGGCTGCCGAGAGACCCCAGTGCCCCCTGGGGTAGCCAGTGGGAAGCCTGGCCTGCCCCCACCTCTGCCAGCCCCTGTGCCCATCACCGTGCCTCCAGCCGCGCCGACTGCCGTGGCCCAGCCGATGCCCACCTTTGGCCTGGCTTCTTCACCCTTCCAGCCGGTGGCCTTCCACCCCTCACCTGCTGCCCTATTGCCCGTCCTGGTCCCCAGCAGCTACACCAGCCATCCTGCCCCCAAAAAGGAAGTCATCATGGGCCGACCTGGGACAGGTAAGAGATGCCAGTGCAATGGCTGGGTGAGGGCTTAAGGGGACGGGGCTACTCGCAAACTGGTTCTCGAGAGGTGAGCTCCCCACCTGGGGAAGGGCTCAAGGGGAGATTAGCCTCCTCTCTGCAGATAACTCTGCAGGAATTCACGTGCCAGGCAAGGGACTGGACTTGGAAGGCTCAGGACACTGTTTCTGGAGGCCTCCTGTTAGGAATGCACTCCCAAGGGCTCAAGCAGTCAACAAACCTTTCCAGAGCTTTTGGGAGCCAGGCCCCCACAATCCTCATGGGGTAACAGAGGAACAGAGTTGATAATCGTGATGACAGTTGCCATGTCTGGAGGACTGGTGGGGACATCATCATGATAATAAGCATTGCCTGTGAGTTATCTTGCCAAACCCTCAGACACACCCCGTACTGTACCCGGGACTGTTTTCAGCCCTTTGGAAATATTCGCTCATTTTGTCTTCATGAGCCTAACAGGCAGTGGGGGTGGGGGGAGTAGGATTAGGCTCATTTAGAGGCAACTGAGACCAGGTTATTTCCTTGCCCTGGATCCCACGGTTAGTAAGTCCTGGACCCAGCCTGCAAAACCAGGCAGGCCAGCTGGCTGGTCCCTGCTGGGCCACAGTGCCAGGTTATAGATGGGAAGATGGAGGTTCCAAGGTGTCTTCTGCCTCGGGGTGGCAGGATCAGGACTGGAGTGCTCACCTCATGCCTGTGCCCAGGAAATATCACAGGTGCAGTCAGTGCCATGATCGGAGCTGGGGGTGTGCTAGGCAGGCCTCCAGGTGTGAAATCCAGTCTGGCTGCCCTCAGGAAAGGGCGTGTAAGCCAAGAGTTGAAGGATGAGCAACCGTGGGCTGGAAGAGCCTCTTAGGAGACCAGAAGGAGCATAGGCAAGCAAAGCCACTGTGGCCAGAGGGCTGAGGCTGGAGGCCGGGAGAGCCAGTGGCCAGGCTAGGTTGGGCCTTGTCAGAGCAACCGTCAGGGAGGGTGCCCAGTCACCAGCCCCTTCCCTAGCATCTTCTTTTTTTATTTATTTCTTAATCCACTGTTGACTGGAGTACCCTGGTCGTGTGGTAGTCGGTACTGAGGACACAGCCCTGCCCTTACAGGGCACACAGTCCTGAAACAGACAGATCTGTCACCAGACAGTGAGCAGCCTGAGCGGTCAGAGCTGGGATGGGGGAAGCCCAGGAGGCCGTGGGAAGTCAGGAGGGCTTCTTGGAGAAGGGGCCAGGGGGTCTAAAGTGAGATATGCAGGGTGTGCAGAAGTGAGTCTGGCAAGGCCGGCAGGAGGACCATGAGGCAGAGGGAAGAGTTTGGGCCCAGGCCTCGAGGCCAAAGTAAGTATTTAAAGGAAGTGGAATCTGCAAAATCAAAGGCTCTAGAGGATGGTGAATGCGGGAATGCACGGCTCTGTCCACGAGCAAGGGTCAGTTCCCCGAGGGCCCTCAGGAGACTTGGGAACTTTATCTCGGTGGCATTGGGGAGCCAAGATAGTCTTTGAGCTGATCATCTGACCACACCTGTACCGTGGAGGGCGAGTTCCAGGGCCTGAGAGCAGAGAGAAGGAGAGCAGGGAGAAAGGGGGCTGCGGTGGGGATCTGGGTGGGAGCTGGGACTGGGGCAGAGAGGCTGATGCGACTGGGATCCCAGGCCCTGACCTCACAGAGCTCCAGCCCAGACCCAGAGCACAGGGACACAGGCGCCGTGCTTGCCCTTCAGACTTATATGCTGAGGTTGTGAGTTGTGTTTTTTTCCCCTGCCCCCAGCATTTTTTACATTTGTTAGTGTAGTTGATAGGAGCCCATTTCCACAGAAATGGGCACAGCAGGGATTTCTGTCTTTAGCCAGATGAAGAAAGTGAAGCAGAAGGACTCCATCTAGAACTATCCTCCTCTCCCCCCCCCCCCGCCCACATGCCCATAGCCCCTGACATTGCCTTCATAGCATTGTATCACGTGACCCTCACTGCTGGCATTTGGAGGGGGATGGCACTGATGCAGGGGACCCGAGGCTCACCAAGGCAGACCCAACAGGGGTACCTGCCACCATTTTCCAGATGAGGAAAAGTGACAGAAGAAGAGTCCTGATTGAGGTCACCCGGCCAGGGAAGGTCAGGACTGGGCCTTGAACCGGGTCTCCCAATCTCCAGATCATAGGATGCTCACTGCCAGAAGCTACAGCGGTCATAATTTCTTGAGCACCACCCATGTGCGTGTGTGCGCGGTACTCGGCTCTCTGAGTACCGCCTAAGCGTTTACTCACCGAATCCTCACAACACCCCAGGATGCCAGCACCATTAGTACTTCCAGTGTTGAAGAAACCACATCTCAAGCGGTTAAGTGACTTGCCCAAAGTCACCCCGCTAGGAAGAAGGATAGGCAGGATTTGAACCCAGGCTGTCTAGCCCCAGGCCCTTGAGTCCTGCCACTAACAATGATAACAGTAATAGTAACCAGCCTTTCATTAAACATTTACCACGCGCCCAGCCCCAGGCCATCTCATCAAATCTGCCTGATGCTGTGCAGGAGGGATTACCAGCCCGGTTTAGGGGTGGGGACTGAGGTTCAGGGAAGGGAGGCTGCGGGCTGTCTGGTCGTCAGAACCTGTCCAGGGCCTGTCCTGGCAGTTCTGAGCAGCGCCTCTCTAACAACACCCATGCTGAGGTATCCAGGCTGCCCTAAGGTTCCCAGCCAGTAGGTCCTCTTGTTCTTCCCAGAGGCCTCCCCAAGCCCTTGGGAGGCAGGCACCCTGGGGCCTTCTGCCTCTGAGGCCCAGGTGGGGCAGACTATGCCCGGTGGCATAATGAGGCCGTAGTCCTGTCCCTTTCTGCCTGCTCATGCCAAGGCCTGACCCTCACCCAGGGCAGCAGGTGTGAGGGGGCGGTCTGGGACAGCTTGCCTGCTCCTGTCCCCCGCCAGGCATTTGCTTCCGCTGGGGGATGTGCCGGGGCAGGCGGCTGGCATTCTCCACATTCTGTGTGTGGCCGGGCCAGCCAGCTGCCATTGCCACCTCCCTCTGACTCTTCCTGCCTGCTCCCCAGGAGAGGAAGCCACCCCAGGGCCTGCAGCCCCAGCCCAGGAGGCCAGATGTCTCAGCCCCATTCCTGGCATGGCCTCCTTTCCAGCTCCCAGCTTCCGCCTGGCTTCCCTGTACTGACAGGCAGTGCCCCCTCTCCTGGGCCTCTGTCTGCCTGCCTTTGAGCCACTGTGTGTCTCTCTCTTTCTCCCTTGGGTCCCTACATCTGTCTGTCTGGGTCTCTATTCCTGGGTTTGAGTTTCTCTCTCTGGTCTTCTGTCTGTCTCTCTTTCTCTCTGCCTCTCTGTGTCTTTTTTGGTTTGTCCTTCCTAGACATCAGTCCTTTTCTGAGCTTTCTTTCATCCCACCTTTCTTCTGTTTTGGGTCCCTGTCTTGGGATCCTGTGTCTCTGGGCCACCCTCCCCTGACCCTCCTCCCCCTCCTCAGACAGACTTGGTTGCCCCTCTCCCAGCCCTTCACCTCCACCCTGTGCCCATCAGGCGCTCCACCCCTTTGAGTCTGTGGACAGTTGCTAAGCACTAGGTCCCTCACTCCCTTCTTAGGGAGTGGTGGGAGGTTGTACCGGCCTGGGAGCCACTTCCTGTTCCTTGACAAATTAATGGCCCACCACTGTCCCTGAAACGTGGTGAGAGGTGTCAGGAGCCATCTACATCCAAGCACCTGTTCCCAAGACAGGCAGGAAGGCGGGGGCTGCATGGGCCAAGCTAGGAGATCCGGCTGTAGGGGAACAACAGGAAAGCAGCTCCTGTGCCCACCCACCTGCTAGAGGGTATGACCCAGATCACCCCGACCGCCCCCTCAATGCCTTGCAGGAGACACATTTGGTGCCAGCTCCATTTAACGGAGTCCCACATGTAGTAGGACCTCAGACACTATGCTTGGCCAGGTAGGGAAAATAAGGCCCAGAGGGGCTTAGGTTCTCTTGACTCCCCAAATCCAGATTCTGCCCAGCAGAGTTTATGTTTTGTCTCAAACAGGGAACCCCTTCTCTCCGACCAGAAGTCCCTTATCTCTCCCAGGCCCAGGCTGAGCAGCCCTGGGGGATGTGGGTGGGGAAGGCAGACATGGAAGCAGGCAGAGGCAAGGATGAGCGGAGGGAGGTATAGAGTCTGGGGAAGCCAGAGGACAGAGACAACTCGGTGACTTGATGCAGGGTGATGAGGGAGGTACGGGTGTCCTCAGTGGAAGTGACATTTGAACTAAAGCTTGAGGAATGAGTGGATTTCAGGAGAGTGAAAGGCGTGTTCCTGGCAGAGGCAGCCATAGGAACAAAGGCCAGGAGGGGTGAAAGTGCATGACCTCTCTGTGTCTAGTGGAAGCTGGAGCTGACACTAGAGCCCAGGATTGGCAGAAGGGTGCCAAGGAGCACAGGTCTAGCCAAGCCAGCTTGAATGCTGGTAGGTCGGTGAAGAGGCAAAAGTTTAGACCGGAGAGGGAAAAGGTTAGATTTGGATGTCAGAGATCCCTGGAGACTGCCCTGGAGAGGAAGGAGGCCTAGGCTGGGAAGAAGAGGATGACCTGCCAAGAGAGAAGAGAAGGGGCGTTTTTGAGGTAGCGGAGTCAATCTTAGAGACTTCCCTAAAGAGACCCCAGCACCGGGAGCTGTAAGGGATCAGGCTGCCTCCTGGCGGCGGCGGCGGCGGTTGCCGGCGCGCGCATGCGCGGGAGGGGGGGGGCGGCCCGGAGCCCCCGGCGCCCGGGCATTAATGGCTCCATTAGTGGCCGGGAGGGAGGCGCATTAGCGGCGGCGACGGCGTCTGGCTCCCATTACCACCGGCGGCAGCGGCTGCACCACAGGCGGCTGGACCTTAGCCCGCCGCGCCGCCTCCTCCGCCCGCACCCCGTCCCCTGTTCCCGCTCCTCACGGGGGCCTGGGCCAGGGAACCCTTGTCTCCCTGTTTCCGCAGCAAAGCTGATTGAGGCACACCTAGGTTCAAATCCCGACCGTGCCACCT